AGCCTCACGAAATTGATTTAAGAGCCGCATGCGGCTCGCGAGCCTCGTTGTGGCCACCTCTGCTCTATAGTCTATAGCAGAGGTATTCAAACTGCGCGTCACGGCTCCCGGGGACGTTGTGGTCCAGGCCCGTATACAGGAGGGGGGGATTAGGGGTTCAACCTTATTTTTGTTATTATACTTTTTACATGGACTCCATCCATCCTATTTGAAAAATTTTTAGATACGCTCTTACTTGAAACTTTTAAAGTGTATTATTATATACAAATATATTAATTTTCTAAATGATAATGATAATGCATATTATGAATTCAACCTATACCTACCGGCTATAGCCTATAAATAAGAGTAATAATAACAATATATATATAAAATATTCTAGACCGATAAATCGTTTCCGTTTAGTTTAATTTTTCGTACATAATGATATTATACAATTTAATTCAAATTTTCCGCCATTACAGTGACCCATTTGTAACATATAATATTATGTAACTATGTACAGCTGAGCGTCACCGGCCACTCCCTGCTTTTTTAGGTTCTGTTACTTGTTTATCCTAGTTAAATCTATAAGACTAGAACAGTTCTTTGTATCATGCAAAAATGTTGGATATACTTAAACGTCTTAAACACTTAAAAATATACAAAAATTGATAAAAATTAGACGAGTTCAAAGGCAAATTCTGACTTTGAAAATTGCATTTGAATTGATATTTTGTAAATATGGTTGATATGAACTTTTTCATTCCTAGGTACTAAATGTAAATTAATAATTATCATTAATTTTGAAGTATTAGATCATTATTAGAAAATTTAAATAAAGATTTTTTTTTAAAACTCACTTAATATCACTTAATAGGTATTTCTATTGATCGCTTAATCAAAGTGAAAAATAACGATTACAATATAACTATAGATATATCTTCCAAGAAAAACATATTATATAAATTGGTATTAAATTATTATTTAGTGCTCTAAATTCATATATTATTTAATTTGTTTTTAAAAACTACGAAAATCGTGAGTAATAATACATCTTAGAAAAGGTTTTATTTATTAGGAAATTTGATATATAGATCGGTAATAGATTTCAATAAKGATTATCATTATTTGAATGACAATTCATTATCAGTTTAAATGATAAACAGGCTTGCCGACACCTTTAATTTCTAAATACGCATTATAAATTAGGTATACCTATACCTACTTAAATTATAGAACATATGCTATTTTGTGAGCGAAATTGGTAATTGTTACTTTACTCTTGAACTTTGATAAATAATATTATGTATTTAAAATAATATGTTATAATTATATAATTACATAATTTAGCACATAATTAATAGCTTTATTTCTGGATTGGAAACAACTTAAGGTTGACCACAATTTTTATGTACGCATGTTCTTAAATACCCACATAATAAAAATATGTACTTTTTGTAAATAGCCAAATAAGAATCCAAAATTATACGGTTACAGCAATCATGAACTATACGTTATTTTGTACATGATGACGTTCGGTTAACATTAACTAAATTTAAGCAATTTTTGATTTAGAATACAAGTTATACCACAACAATGACTTAGATTGTATGTCTTAGAACTTTTAAAAAACTAAAAATTATATAAAAAAATTGGTTACTTGGAGTTATCATTAAAAAAAAAAATTTAATAAGTCAGATAAATTCAAAAATATGTATAAAGTATATAGTAAGTACTTATCTAGTTACATTAGCTATATAAAGTGTTTTATATTTTCGCGAACACACGATGTATATGATGCACCTATAATGTATATATTTAGCTTATGAATTAGGTTTATGTCTAGTTTGTCCAATACATATACTCTGGTGACTATGTTTCTTCATGTCGTGTAAGTCTGATTAGTGGGTTCAGCCATATTTTATTAGCTTATTATTACCTTTATTATTATTGAACATAAAATGGTCAATATAAAATTAGGCTTTAAATATATATCAATTACTCGATAGATCGAGTCTTGTTTATGATAAATGTCAAAAAAATATTCTGTAGAAAAATGTACATATCTACTCAAAATCAACCAAATTTAACGAGAAAATAGTGTACCTACCTGGTGTAGGTAACTATATATATATATATATATAACTATAATCGATTGTTGCGATCTGGTTCTTAAATAGATTTACCTACTCTAATAGTAATTTAAAGCTCGCAGACAATTTTTTTTTATAATTTTGCTGTAAAATTATGAAATAATGAAATTATCACTATATAATGAGTATAGTTGCGCAATTACCTATTTGAATATTTGATTATCATGCAATATTAAAATAGTACGAAATAATAGATAGGTATTATAATATAATAACCGCGCGTCGGTTCAAATAGTATAATATTTATTATTTATTTATAAATTATTATCGTTGGGTATTTATAACGAATAATGCTGAAGTAGCACTATACGCTGAATGCTGATGACTGCAGTGCTATATAGGTACTAAGGTACTCAAGCGCTAAAGACTCCGAAACAATAACCCAAAATATTCAAACCCACTTGAATGAAATTCAAAAATGGGGAGATAAATAGGAAATTATATTAAACTCTCATGATAAGAGTACAGCTGTACTCTTCCCCAACCAGCGCCCCAAAACTCTTGGTAACTTAAAATTGTACGGTAATAGTATTCCTTGGTCACCTAATATAAAATACCTCGGTGTAATTTTGGACAAAAAATTAACTTGGAATCCATATATCACCTCCGAACTACAACAAGGTTACCAAAGGCTTAAAGTGATCAACCGACAAACTGCATTAAGCAGCAGGAGATGTTCAGATGTTCTCTTATGTTATATAAGCAAATACTACGACCGTTACTTCTATACGCAGTCCCTGTATGGGGAAATTGTGCGAAAACCCACATAAACACAAAATTCAAGTTTTCCAATCAAGAGTCCTGAGAATAATTTCTAATGTTCCATGGTTTGTACGTAATGATGCACTTCACAAAGACTTCCAGCTACCCACAATAACTGAGTACATAAAAAATTAGCAATTAACTTCTCCGAACACATCAATTTTGCTCACAATGCGAAATTGTATAGAATTACAATATTATAATCTATATGATTTTAAGAGGACGTGATACCCGCTTGTGTCGTCTCCGTCTTACAAGTGCATAACTGCAAATTTTTCGCTCAGCAGAACACGTGTAGCTCTGTTAATTTAAAACTTAAAGTGAATTGACTTTTAATAAAATTAAAATGTAAGATTATTATCTAAACAATATCGTAGGGTTTTTATCATATTTTAATTTTAAAGTGAATTATGATGTGTATTTTAAGATGTAAAACTTGTAAGATGGAGACAAAACATGCAGGTATATCACGTCCTCTTAATTAAATTGGTAGGATAATATTATATAATATATTAATATACTATGTTCAGAAATATTTCATAAAATGCTGCAAACAGTAATTTTTTTCGTATACATGGCAGCGACATTTTATCGTAATATAATTTTTGCTTGAAAATTCTTATACACATAATATTTTAGATTTTATGCTAACGAGTACAGATTGTATATTAACTTTATGATAATAACAATAATAAAAAAAAAAAAAATTGTAGCCACATATTTTGTAGGCCTATAAAAATGTTCATAGGTTTCTGGACACAGTTCCATAGGCAATGCGTTATATGGCCCATATAACATATATTTCGTCATAGACGGAGAGTCTAAAAAAAAATAGTAATTCAATTTTTATACGACAACCTTATGGTCCTTATGGGACCATATAATTTATGGTTATAAACTTATAAATACTTACAATTAATTAAATATTGACGTAGGACAATGGATACATGTTAATATCGGGTATCGGACATACCTATAATATACTATTGGAGCKTATAATATTTAAGTACTCATTGTGTTGTAATAAGACAATAAGTAGATAGGTATTATACCTGAGTAAGGTTCCAGTCGTTCCAGGTTTTGACGTGGGGGTGGTTGGAATTTCGTAAACCGAATAACACTTTAAGTTCTTCTTGACCTTCAATAAGTATATTAAGTATAGCCGTTTAGATGATAAGTAGCGAGCATTTTAATATGTGTTCATGTGATTGGAAAACGTAAGTATAACATTGTATTTTTTACAATATAGGTAGTTTCTATTTGTATAGGTACGAAAATAAATTATAAAAACGTTTAATAACATAATTAATCAATGAACCCTTAGACTTGTTAAATGAAATTACGAAAAAAGGAGTATCTACTATTAGAACCAACCTAGTATAATTTGTCGTTTGCTTTAGTATTAGAGTGAATGTGAATAGTCCCTATTATAATACTTGTAAGTTAAGAATATTTTCGTATRTTGGCTTTTTACAATATTTCTATATATTTTATATGAGCAAATTATATAAATTTAATAATTATAATAATAATAGGCACGAATAACATACATTTTTTACTAGGCAAACGAGGAACAATTTATTATAATTAGTTGAGCTATAATTAATTTAATAATGGCCAATCTCTATAATCTATAGTGAGATATGGTCGTGTCGACTAAAAGTCTAAAACATATTGTACAATTATACTGTAATACATTCGCGAGTTCACGATATTATGGTATGTCGATTCGAATTATGTATCAAATAACAACTTGATAATGTCAAGACCACCGGACACCGTCCTACAACTGGTTTTGGGTTTCCGCCTTCCGGTCTGTACAAATTTTTTTCTTTATAGCGAAACAGTCCGCGGTTTTTTGTTGTGAACTTTTGACCGGTCCATGTGTAGCGGCGGCGTAACACGTGTCACTCGTACACGAGTAAAATAATATTCCCTGCAGGTAAACGCACTGTGCGTGCGAGTGCGCGCGTCATGTTTGTCGCACTGGCTGTGGCCCCTTCCCTTCACCGTGGCCGGCAAAAAGTCGGCTACGACGTCACCACGTTCCAGCGGCGCCGCGGCGATCCATGTGACGTACCGACGCCGCTAACGACGGCCGACCGGATCGTACGCGTCGCGAGGTTCGCGGTGTAACGTGCCGCCGGGCACAGGCCGCCGCCGCCGCCGCCGCCGTCTCTGTGCTGCACACACGCACGCGCGTTTCGCTTACGTTTTTTCACGATCACGTCCAAGTCGGGCAGAACCGCAGAAGTACACTTTCCGTTCACAGGCTCAACCGATAGCAAGTCGGTTCGTCAGTCGCCTCAGACGCACACACACACGCAAACACGCGGCTCGCGGCGGACACGTTAAAACGCAATAATTCGGCTCTCGTGCATATCACAATAACACAATATCAATTATTGTTATTACATATTTAACTGTTGATAGTGTTATTTTGATATAATACGGCGTGTTTACGCGTTTCGTTTTTTTTTTTAACTCGGTCGCCGGTTACGTTCCAACAGAGCCGATTCACTCGCCCGTGGCCCCGTTGTTGCGCGCTGCCAGTCGTCGTATCTCACGTTACGCCGGTATTATTTTCCCACCGCCAAACACTGTGACAAATAAAATACCACTCGACACGACGTTCAATCTACCTACTTATTGTACGTCGGCATTTCACGCGGGACCCACCGTCACACAGAATACGTAGCCATGGTCCGCCTTGTGATGTACCCTGAACCGTCCAACTACTCGTACGTGTTCGACTTCGAGGAGAACTTCCACTACGAATGGACGCGGCAGTGGATGACCGAGAACTGGACCAACGGGTTCTACTACTGTACCATATACGCCATGCTGGTGTTCGGGCTCCGGAGGATGATGCGCGACCGAGCCGGCTTCCGTCTCAAAGGGCTGTTGGTGCTGTGGAACGTGATGCTGGCCACGTTCAGCCTGGTCGGTTTCGCCCGTACGGCGCCCGAACTGTTCCGGGTGCTCAACAAATACGGACTGCACCATTCGGTGTGCGTCACCAGGTAAGCGACAATCCGCCCACGTGCTTTATGGTGTGTGTTGTTATTTTTTTCTTCACCGCCGCATTGTGATTACTCACCAAAGTAGTAGTATTAGTGATATTTAATTCTCTGGCAGTGATTTGTGATTAACTATTAAACACGGGTTAAACGTCTTCGCTGCGACGTGGGGTCCTTCTCGGGGTTTTCAGGCGCCCTCCCGCTTCGCCAGTCATAGATAATACGACGCGCGCGCGAATGATCGCGTTTTTCGGTTCACTGATAACACGCCGCCGGTCTCCCTCGGCCTACTTCAATAATAATTACTCGCCTTTTAAATAATATTATAATTCAATAGTATCACTGTACAGAAATGCTTCAATATTGTGCTTTCTCGCTCCCCGTTGGTTCATTCGGACCAAAGCTGCAAGTGTTTGGGTTTGTGGTTTCACTTTATCAGCGTGTTGGCCGTTATGTTTTATCGAGCTTGAGTTCCTTACCACGCCGTTGTTTTGGACACGGTGAACATCAGGAATTGTATTGTTCACTGGCATTTATTGTCATTTAAATTTGTATATAAATGCTTATGATGAGTAGTTATATGATGAATGTTGAGGTTCAAAGTAGTATAATATGTTTGTTTACTTTTTTGAGAATATTTTAACACAGTAGCAGGCGGTGTTTATCTTTTTAATACCTTTGTAAATAAATATCTTTTTTCATACACTTTATATTAAGTACTTTTAATTATTGTGGTTTGTATTCATCATAGTATTTAGTTTATTCAATACAGACCATTGAATAAACCTATACAAATCTATATAGGTATTAATCTAAATTTGCTCTAATTATCAATTATAAGTAGATATATTATATCATAACCAAGTTCTAAATAATAATTATTATTTTTATGATATTATTCATTCTTCAGATTAACCTAATTAGGTAATTACCTATATTATTTGATGATTATAAAAAAAAAAAACTAACTTGTACCTACCTACTCATCCATTTTTTGTTTTGTTATTGTGCTACTAATGTAATATTACTTATGGAAAGTAAATAATTATTTCAGAAAATTGTCATTTACGTTTAATTTCATTTGGACATGAATGCCATTCATATTAGATCCTGATGCCTAATTTTATGCTTATATTAATTCACAGGAAATATTTAATATTCGAATCAAGTAGTTAAACATTATTTTTATACTTATATCCTTGGAATACTGTTTAATAGTTCACCTTTAAAATCATTTTACTATTTAACAGGTACTTAGTTAGTCTACAATAAATTCAGTTATATCCTAACCAATTTTTTCTTTGAAATTTATTAATCTCTATGAGGTACATTAAATGTACTACATTTAACAGACATATAAAGAAATACATAACATATCTAGATAAAAAGGTATTCTATAATATTAAAATAATTTATCTTTATGAATAAAAAAAATAGAATAATTTTCATATACTTATTTAATTCAATGTATAATATGTTAAGTTTAATAAATCTTTGAATTGTACCTATGATAGATTTTATGGATTATTCATGAATAATTTAATTGTTTAGCAGTTACCTACGTGAATAATAAAATATAATAAAATTATAAAACAAAATAGAGTAGAAATACTCTAATTAAAAAAAAAAGTTTGACGTCATCAACTATTCTTTTCGATAAAATAATTAGGTAATTACTATTTAATCTATATATAATTAGATCATATTTACTGCCAAATTAAGGTCTGAAGTGCATTTTTTTAGCTGTAATAAATTATTTGTAGGTATTACTGTACCTATTAGTAGTATACCAGTATTATTACTTATTATTGATCTCTACTAATCAGTTTGATCTTTGATCTTTAATCTTAGACAATATACTGGGCAATAACAAGAATAAGACATAGGAAAAGGATTTTTATATCTATTTTGTGAATTWAATTAAATTTTATATTACAATATTACCTATTTACAATGCAATAAATGAGTGTTTGATTAACAGTATATGTAATTCTTAAATATTTATGATGTATGGGTTAGTTTATGTAAAATATTACTATACTTACAATTAATTGGTTTGAGTAATACTTCTAACAATTTAAACAAATTATTTTAATCCACCTGCATTAATATTCCGTTAAAAATAAATGTAAATTACAATTAGCTATTATCTGATTTTTCTTAATGGCCTTTTTTAAACTTAATATGTTACTTATTAAAATTTCTTAAACTATAACATTTTACTCACCTATAGGTATCTAAATTAGTATAATTAATATTTGAATAAATGGATTTTCTTAATAGATTTGTAATAATACTTAATAAAAATTATAATTTTGATACATTATATTCCTAAAATGTATAGGCAATATGTAGTAGAGTAGATAGGTCGGTAGGTAGTATACAATTTATTGATTTCAAAGAAATGATAAAAGTTTAAATAATATATGAAGTAAGTTGAATAATATTTCTAGGTTTTAAGTTTTTGAATTATAATTGATTAACATTGACTACGAATGAATTTTTTTTAAATATTTTTTATGTTTCAAAACGGTTTTCAGTAATTGAGTTAATATTTGGTTATATTGATTAATTCTTATAATAATAATTATTATTACCATAAAATGCATTGTTTGGTAATGTTTTGATTCTTGTACTTTTTTTCTGAATTTTACTCKCCTATAATGAATGGCGTTAAAAAATGAATTATTAATATAAAAATGTCATTCTAGTGAGAATCTTTAATTGCTTTTCAACAATTAAATAGTTAATTACCGATTTCTGTAAATTCATTTTTACCATGACGTACCGAACTTCAGTGACAGATAATGTTGGTGTGGTATTATCTATAAAAACCTGAGTACTAGCCCCTAGCCCCTAAATAGGTAATTAAGACAAATTCCACAATAATTTTGTAGCAACTACATTAAGCATGTTACATTATGTAATATTTTTTATTTATTTTAACTATAAAATATTTAAAGTGAGACTTTGTTGCGTATAATATGCGAGTAAAAATTATGTGATTAGATATCAATAAAACCAATAATAATTGTGATGTCGACGTCATTCATGTCATTGAAATTTGGTATAGTGAATAACGATGTTAGTAACTTGTTATTACTAATAAGTTATTAGAATAACCAATAAGTATGCAGCTGGTAATAAATACTAGTAATGTACTAGTTTTATTATTGTACCTCCTTGGACTAACGCAAGTTCTATATTAACAAGATTTTAATTTCTAGTTCTTACCTACTTGTATTATATTTTTGTTTTATTTATATCATATTAACGCAATGTTGTTATGACCATGTTATTATTTAATTGTAACTTTGGTAGCTTTAAATTTATCTATTAATATTCACATTTTTATATTCTTAGACGAACACTAACTACATTCTAATATTTTCATTATCTTTTGTATATCATTTTCGCATTATCTAATAATGCAATATAAATTATTTATTTCGTTTTCTTATTAGTTTTTACGGTGCTTTTTGAATCTATTCATAACACGAATATAATGAAATATAGGGCAATCTTTTAAGTAGCGTTTATCATACCTTGCTAAAATAGCCTACCGTAGGCATGATTCTATTAATACATATTAATATAAGACGTGCCTAAACATGCGACGATCATCATCGCTATTCATGTAATTTAAATGCAATTAAAATTAATATTCAAATGTATTTCCATAGATATTTTACATTAGGTTAATGAATATTAACTAATGAATAAAAATCACCGTGAACTAATTATATTGGCTTTTTACTCGAATTTTATACTTAAAAATATTATGGTACAAATTGGTTTATCTTGACTCATAAAATACGCCAACATAATTGTAGTAATTAAAATACTAAAAAGAATACTTTCAAGAAGTCAAATACATTTTAGTCAAGCAATTATTAGTTGTTTGGTGTACTCAATATTATTTTTCTAAATTTCCGAATAGGATAATTTAAATGAAAAAAATTGTATTAACAACGAAAAATATTTTGTAATACGAAAGCAATTAAACATTTTAGTATTGTATTCTTCAGCTGTATTGTGTTATAGTTATCACGTGCCTATCATCAATATTCAATATTTATCATACTTATTTTTATATTGTTACTACTGTTACTAGATATATATTTGAAAAGTATATAGAGTTTTCGCATAATGTATTAAAACTCTAGAGAAGTAACGCTAATGAAGGCCTCCCCCATTCTCCGGTTTAAAAATAAGTATTTTTACCTAATTGTCTAATTCTATATGTTCTGAATTGTATAGGTATATAAAAAAGTCCGATTAAATTCTAATTTATTACCTTCAATATTTATGAATAATAATTAATAATATATACATATATATCTACAATTGATAATTTTTAATACTTCTATTTCCATTCCCACTAGTTCGATGTGATAACTACGAGATTCATATGAAATATATATAATATATACAGGATGTCCCGCGAGAATTTACCCATTGCGATATCTCATGAAATAATGGAGATATCAAAATTCTGGTTTTATGATAAGATTCACAGGGATAAGAACTACAATTATTAATTTTTTAATTTTAATGTTTTTGTAAAAAATTTTAAAAATATGTTTTTTATTTAATTATTTCCAAAAAAATTAAAGATACCCATTTTGTATGGTTTATTATTCTGAAAATATTGACGTTTCAAAATTTTATTTTCATTAATTTCTTGATTTTTGATATTTTTTCTAGTTGTGAAGAAATAAAATATGATAATAAATTTATAACGTCGCGGCGGGTTACATGTTTGATAATATTACGGTGTTAAATAATTCACAATTTTTCTCGAAACTAAAAAAAAATATTAAAAATCAGGAAATTAATGAAAATAAAATTTTGAAACGTCAATATTTTCAGAAAAATAAACTCTACAAAATGGTCATCTTTAATTTTTTTGGAAATAATTAAATAAAACATATTTTTTACCAAAACATTAAAATATAAAATAATTGTAAGTCTTATCCCTGTGAGTCTTATTACAAAACCAG